AAAAGAAAGAAACAGCAACAACAACAACAATTTCCAATCGGATCAAAATGCTACTGGGTTACTCACTAACACATTGGTATCAACTACTTGTGGAAACTGCAGCGATCTCAGCCTGTGATAGTTAAAAAAAAAAAGAATATTATTTAAATTAAGTATCCGCTGTATTACATGAAACGTAGAGCGATCAACTATAATTTCGAAATGATCAAATTGTACACGTTACGCTATATATATTACGTATGTTTGTACGCGTTTTGTTGGGAAAGCTCTTGTGCCTAGTTCAAGCTCATTACGATATAACCTAACGAAAAGGGGAAGGAGAAGGAAACGACGCGATGTTGCATGTAATTTGAGTTTATGTTGGTCAAATTCTTTGTTTGAGCTTCGCTAGCTATGTGTCGCTGTACGTGAATTCAACGTGCGAAACATTGCTTTTGCAACAATTCGCCACGACAGATAATTGGATGAATGAATGCATTGTGTTTCCACGATGAAAGTTTCAAACGAGGGATTAACGAAGAATCAATATCTTCTTTTCGACCAGTACATGTATTGTGTAATACATGTGCCGTACTTTGTAATTTTTAATCGATAATTGCATGTGATAAGAGATGAAAGTGTAGTTACAGGTTATGTGTATAAGAGTAAAAATGCAACAAGTGAGTGTTTTAAGCAAATAGAAGTAATAAATGTTGTGCGCTTGTGATTATGATTATCTTTCTTTTCTTTTTTTCTTTCTTTTATTTAAGAAGAAGAGAGAACTAATCCAAACTCTTTCTTTCTCTTCTTCTGTGCATGTTAGCGACATGTGAAAAAGGCTCGAAGCGAACGAGTTTCCATACGGTATGTTCCTTTATTAGGTGAAACACGCAAGAATCACTTATACTAATTAGCTGTAATATAATCGCCCATAGGGCTTCGTAATATTTTTTCAATATATGCATATACATACATATATATGTATATATACATATACATACATACATGTACATATGTGTATACGTATATGTATACGTTATATTAACCGTATTGTGATGTTAACTTAAGCCATGGACAGAGATGTAGAAGAGTTTTTCCGAGGTCGCTGTAGTAAATCCTTCCGCTGAGATGAGGGATCACTTTCTCAGTTTTTTTAGCTTAATCGAAGAGAGCGTCGATAAAAAAAAATAAGCGGATGTCGACTATTCTTGACGAATAAAATCCAGAATGTACTCGCATAATTATCTTTGAATGGTAAAATGGCGATGATCGGGAACTATACGACGTTGTGATCAGCAAACAGACTACAATGTAGTTTGTTCGTGATTGAATGAACAAACAGAACAAACACTTGTGTAATAAAGTAGATATCCATAAAAAAAAAAAAA